TTTATTACCACGTGTGGTGATGATAATGTCAGCACAGAAAGGCCTTGGAAATCATCCAGGCCAACCCTCTCATTTAGCTGCCAAGTGTGACCCCAGAGGTGACAGAGGGCTCCCCAAGGTCACAGGGCAAGTTCATGGCAGAGCTGAAGCAAAAACCCAAGCGTCCTGCCCATCCGCTAGTGTCTGGTCTCCCCCCACCCTTGTCACTTGACAGAAACCCTTTGCTAGGGAGACACGGGGCGGAGATCCCTTTGTGGCTGTGACAGTGGCATCTGGCTTGCCTGGGACTTACCATCTTCATCTCACAAAAATTCCTGGACCTTATGCTTCTGGCTGTGGCCACCAGAACCACTGGCCCTGGGGGAAGGCAGTGTTCCCTGGGGTCTCCGTGAGGCAGCTGGCTCCCCCAGCCTGCCCCCATGTCCCTGGCGCTACTGCCCTGTAAGGGGGCACTCCCCTTTACTTCCTGGCCTAGACAGGGCTGCCTGCACCCTGCCTGCTGTCACCTTGGGTGGAAATAGAGTCTCCAGAAGCCCGCCTGAGACCCCTCACCTAGGTATCTGACCCAGCTGGCTGCAAGATGTGACCCCGTCTGGGACCACAGCTTGAATTTGTGGCCCTAGTTTCAACCTGGTGTGACCCCTCCCATGGCTCTGAAGACCCAAAAATGACCAGACTGTTGGAACAGGAGGGATCTGGGCAACCAACTTAGTTCATCCTCTTCTCATCCCCATTTCTCAGATTTAGGGAACTGAGGCTCCGAGAGGGAAGGAAGCCAGCCTCACAACCACCAAGATACTGGCTCTTTCCCCACTGTCAGCCTGGGCTCTTCTATTTCTTGCTGCCCTGATTCCTGAGGCTGCCCAGGCCTGGAGTGTATGGACTGGGACACTGGTAATGAATAGCGACTGCAGGTCCATCTCTGCAGGGCTCTTTCAGACCCTCAGGCCAGGCCCTGCTTCCCTGCCAGATCTGGGGAGCCAGTGCACTGGAGGGCAGCACACGTTTCCTGCCTGTGGGTCCTTGTGCCAATCTGAGAACAAGGTTTCCTGGCTCTTCTGGAGCCCCCAGTGTTCTGCCCCTGGGAGAGCAGAGTCTGGGATTCTTCTGTGCCTCCCCTTGCCTAGCTTCCCGGGAAAGATTAGTTATTCATTCACCAAGTTTGTTGAACACCTACTACATGCCAGGCACCATTCCAGGCCCTCGGGATACAGTGGTGAACCTGACGGAGGCCTTGCTTACATTGTAACAGGCGAGACAGACAGTAAGTCAACAACTTCATGTATGATGTCATTATGAGCTATAATGAGTGTTTTGAAGAAAAACAAATTAGGATAAGGTGTTATGAGGAGATGGATGTAGATCAAGCTTCTTTAGATGGAGTGATCAGGGAAGGGTTCTCTGAAGAGGCTACATTTGAGCAGATACCTCAAGGAGGGAAGGGAGAGAACCCCGTAAGCAGAAGGGCACTCCAGACAGAGGGAATAGCATGTGCAAAGGCCCTGTGGCAGGAATGTGTTTGACATGCTCCAAGAAAGGCAGAGAGGCCAGTGTAACTAAATGGAGTGGGAGAGGGAGGAAGAGAGGAGAGGAAGTTAGCAAGATGGTCAGAGAGCAGTCGCAGATGGCCTTTTGGAGCAGGGGAAAGGCTTCCGACTTCATGCTCAGTAATTCAGGAGCCACTGGAGGATTTTAATGGAAGGGCGGAGACTATCTGATGTGCTAAGAAGGTCCTTCTGGCCAGTGAGCTGAATATAGGCTATAAGGGACAAGGGAGGCAATGAGGAGACCAGCTGGGTGGCTTTTAGTGACCCAGGCAAGGATGCCGGTGGCTTAGACCAGAGTGTTCAGTGGAGGTAGTGAGACAAGGTCAGATCCTGGATGTAATTGGAAGGTTGACCAAGGTCATGCCCAGAAGCCGGAGGGGAATGCCTGCCACCCCTACAAAGCAGACTGAGGGGCTGCACCTGGAGAGCTGGCCATGGTCTCCAAGTCCTGTGGGTCTGAGTGGTGTTCTTTTATGCTGTCACCGAGCCGTAAGCAGAGCTGTAAGCGACTGCCTTAGGGTATCCATTTATGATAGGGGTGTAATGAGGAATTCCAGGCACCCTCGTCGCACTTGTCATTTTGCCATTCATTCACGAGTCTGCATCCTTTTCCATCCCTCTCCTCCACTTCCACATCCTCTCTTCTGCACGCTGCTGGCCTTCTGACATGCTGTCATCCTCAAGCCCTGGGACCTTGGCCTGTGTCCGTTCCTCCACCCCCATAATTCTATCTGGCAAACTCCTGTGTATCCCCAAGAGCCCAGCTCAGAAGCTGTTGCCTCTGAATTCCCTTCCTCAACACTCTTGGACCCTGGGGATTTCTTCCTCCACTGAAAACCCTCCCTCCTGTACTCCATTGCCTGGGATCAACTGCCATTGGGGCTGAAGCTGTGCCTTCCTTCACACCCCCTCTTTCCGGTTTGTGTCCTCACAGCCTGGCCCAGGGCCGGCACAGTGGAGGGAACAAAAACATTTCAGTATATTCCTGGAGCAGTAGCTAGTTACTATGGAAACAAGGAAGTGTTGCAACTTCCCTAACTTTTGAGGTTGGGGTCACAGAGGCCAGCTCTGTTTTGGCCCCATGGGATCAATCCAGGATGACCATTCTGGGGTTCTTAATGGATTCAAAGTCACCTTAGGTAGGCAGGTCCCTTCCCATCCCTGGGCCTCAGTTGACCCATCAGTAGCATGGGAGCCTGGGGGTTGCTTGGCTCTCTAAGGCCGTTTTAAACATCCCCTATTTCTGTGCCCCCAATCCTGTCATGTAACTATAGGCAGGACCTTTGTTCTGTTCAGGCCTCAGTTTCCCAATTTCATTCCTCTCTGTCCTCTAAGAAGTTACCTGCCTGAGTCAGATGCCTCCAGCAGCCCAGAGTTTTAGGAGCCAAGAACTAACCTGGGATTCTTAGGACCTGCAGAGGCACCAAGAGGGAAGTCTGGCTTCCAGAGCAGCAGCATGGGGAGCAGGAAGGTGGGTTGTAGGGAGAAGTCAGGCCAGCTCACTCTGGTCTGAACCTGCATGGGCCCCTGGTCTCCTTCCCTCACCTTGAAGGTGGCCAGAGCCAGTGTTTGGCAGGTGGGCCTTGCCTCTGCTGGAGGCCGTGCACTCAGCCTTCTGGTGTCAGCAGAAGGGCGGGCAGTCCGGGGGGGGGGGGGGCGGGGGGGGGGCCAGAGGCCACCAGCAGTGGTGGGGTGGAGTGGGTGCGCAGTCCCTTCTGGCCAGGTGTCTTCTCCCTCCACTTCATTGCTCACCTTGGTAGCAACCCCTTCCCGTCCCCCCACCCTCACCCCCAATGACCCCTGCCTGGCTTTTTCAGAGTGGCTTGGCCTTCCCCATCAGGCCCCTAATGGGAGTGATCTGGGGTAAGAGGGCCTCTGGGCTCTCTGGGCCTACTTGCTCGTCTGGAAAGTGGGTGCGGAGTCCTCACCTCCCAGGGCTGCCAGAAGGGGAGACTGAAGAAGACAGTCTGTGCCCAATAAAAACACTTGTTAGGATTGCCAGCTGGAGGCAGGTATAGGCCTCAGCTGGAGGGATGCCCGTGCGAACGACTTCTTCAGGAAATGAAAGCCGGAGCCTTTTCAGCATGGGAATCTGGAGTTGTGTCCTAGAAGTACCCCTGCCTCTGTGTCTGAGCTGCTCCCAATGGTCAGGAACCATCAGGGTGGGCTTCCCTGGCCATCCGCCTGCCCGGATGAATAACACCCCCAGGGCAGTATGGGGGCCTGGAGGGGGGCCGTGGCCAGGGTCAGAAGACCCCTTTCCCATCTCACCCATGGATCAGCTTCCTGACCTGGTCAAGGCCCTGGTCAAGGCCCTGGTCAAGGCCCTGGCTCTCTCTGCCCTCAGTTTCCACATCTGTGCATTGAGGCCCCTTTTAGCTGGTATTCCTTTTGAAAGCCTGTTTGAGCATTTTTACCTCCAAGATAAGCAAGGCTCCCTATACCAGCCCCCCCAGATCAAAGTGTTGATCTCACCTCTACTCAAAAAGTTCTCACTTTTCTTAAATGGGACTGCCGTCTGCCCACATGACTTTGGACTTCACCGTGAGGATGGTGGTATAATGAGTCACCTAGCCCCTCCTCGCCAGCAATCCTGTTTGTCCTTGCTTCCTCCTGTGGGGGGGTGGTTTCAGGTGTCTCCCTCTGTATTCCCCCAGCCCTCTGTATTCTCCCCCACTGGACTGTCCCCTCTGTGAGGGTACCAACTGGTTCTTATTCCTATATCCCCAGAGGGCCTGGAGCAGAGAAGGTGTTCAGTAATGGTTAGGTGAATGATGGAATGGAAATCCTTATCTATCCAGATAGTTCCAATTTTCTCAGCACACCAGTTTTACTGTCCTATGTTCACTTGCTGGAATTTTGCTCAGTGTAAAGGATCTTTTTTCTTTTTTTTTTTAATTAATTTTTTAGTAAGCTCTAAGGCCAAAACTGGTTTTCTATACTTTTGGCCAATTTCCATCTTTCAGAACTGGGACTTTCTGTCTCATGTTTTTGCATTTCCTTTATTTGCCTCGTTTGAACAGCTTCTTTTTCTTTTTGGGACTGTAGGTAGTAAATAATTCTACCTCTCATTTTATTGAGATTTCTCATGCCAAAAAGGCAGGGAGGGTTAGTAAGCACTCAGTTGGGGTGGTTCTTTGCTTTGCTGTGTTTTTTCCTTTGTGTATTGGATTATATCTGTTTTTCCTGCCTGGTCCCTGGGCCTCTGACACCCCATCTTCCCAGGGCTTGCTTGGTGGCATCTGCTGGATCCACCATGTGTGGTAATGCACATTGCACATAATCCACATATTATACATTTATTAAACCAATTTCTGGTGGATGGTGGTAAAGTATTTTGAGGAAGAGGAGCCTTGTTCTTGTTCTCATAATGCCGCTGTGAGGATTAGAAGTAGGACTGCCATTGGCCTGCTGCCTGGCTGAAACTTGGACTCTCCCTTGGCTCCTCCCCAGGACTACAACCTATGACACTGGGTTTCCATTTCCCCACCTCCCTGCCCCAAACCTGGCCTGTGGGAGTACCTCGGAGAGAGCTGAAACCTCCAAACTGCATCTTCCAGATGTTTCTGAAGCTGCCCATCCTCTCCACCCCCCATGCAACTGTCTTCTCCTTCAGGTGTCTACCTCCAGCCTCCCCTACTTGGCCCCAAGTGTGACCTTAATAAAAGGCACCTACAACCTTGTTACCTGCTCTGCCTACCTAAAACTCCTTCATGACTCCCTACCAACCACAACCTGGCCCTCAAGGCCCTATGTTCCCTGGCCCCAGCTGAATTTTCTCTTATATGTGTTTTACTGATTCTGTACACTGCCTTTCTGCCTGGCGAACTCCTAGGCATCCTGCAAAGCCTGGTGCAAGCCTTGGCTACCTTGTACACCTGCCAGATCAAGTGGGTTGGGCCCTCACCTTTGCCCTAGTTCCTCTGGCACTGTTTTTTGACCACTGTTGTAGTCCTCACCTGGCACGACTGTAGCTGCCGGCAGGGTACCCCAGCCATAGGTGGGCTATAACTCCCCTATACCCAGCACCACACGTGACATCTAACAGACATTCCAGAATGTTTGCTGAATAAATGAGTAACCAAATGATGGCTCCACTTTACATAGAATTGATAGGTTTCATGGCTTGGGGGAGAAAAAAAAATATGTATATGTATGTGTATGTATATGTGCATGTGTGTGTGTGTGTGTATTTGCATTCTAGCCTTAGAAGTGACTTGCACACTTTGCTTGAGAAGAATTGATTAATCTCAGCCCTGGAGTCACAGCTGGCCTGTGTACATGGTCTGAACCCTGGACCCTTCTTTTGCTCTCCCTGTCTCCAGTTAGAGCCAGAGGGGTGGTTCAGCTGATCCAGGCTCCCAGGGGTATCTCCTAGCCCTGATGGTCTTACTCAGAGCTGCCAGGGTCTGAGGCCACCTGGGTGTCAACTGTGCCCACACCACTGCCCTAGTCAGCTCGGCTTCCTGGGAGAAATGGCTCAGCAGCAACAGGCTGGCCAGGCCGCAGCACCTCTTGGGCAAGACTCCCTGGGCAGGGCCAGGGGCTGGAACCTCACATGCACAGCCCACGCACCAGGCAAGTCTGCGGGCAAATGGGCTCCAGCTTACCCTGGTGCTGGGGCAGGTGGGAGGGACACACTTCTGTTGGGTAAACACGGGTGTTCAGGCCTGCCTAGACTCATCCCTGTGCCATATCGGTTAGAGGCACGGGACAGCATTTGGCAGAGCTGGGAGTTGCCAGTCCGGCCAAGGGTGACAGAGAAGGACACTTGGGAGTCTTCATAGACCTTTCCTGGGACTCGGCCCTTCTGGGCTTTGTCAGAAGCAGAGCCGAGGTGGTAAGGGGGAAGTATGGGGAGTCTTCAGGCAGGCCTGACTGCTGACCCTCCCAGTACTGAGTCTTTTCTCCACCTCCCCACAGGCAGATCCCTGGGACCTGGGGAGGGTGGGCTGCAGGGTGGTGAATTTGCTAAGCTAGGACTGAAATCAGAGCTTCTAGGTAGATGTACCCCCGCAGATGCATTTCATTCCACACTTACCTGAGGCGAAGCTCATGTCCTTGGGAAACCCCACATGCATCAGGCATGGCTCTTTGGAGTCTTGAAATTGCCACGACAGTCCTCTGAGGTGGCTGATGTTATCCCCATTTTAACCAGGAGGACTCTGGAGCTCAGAGGAGTCAAGTTGCGTTAGGCCCTGCAGCTACTAAGGAATCTGCTCTCTCCCTACAATTGGCCCCTTTTCAATTTTCCTTTTTAAATCCATGCCTCTTGGTACAGATGAGTAACCCTATGGGCATGGTTGCCAGCCTCTGCCTCAGACTGGAGAGCCTGGCAGGTGCCTGGGCCGGTGCCTCACAGGGGAGGTGGACGGGTGGCCATAAAACCCTGAGAAGCTGGCAGAGTTCATGGCCACCAAGGAGAGCACCTCTGTTGTCCATGGCTGGAACCTCAACACATTGGATCATTCTCCCCCCACGTAGCTGGAGCCAAATCCTGCTTCACTGGAGGCAAATGTGACCTTGGTACTTATGTAAACACAGATCCAGGACCGCACCATTGACAGAGAAAGCAAGATGCCCTCCCCTCCCACTGCCACCCCATGAACCCAGCACCATGGGCAGGAGCATTGCCTGCTTTCCTTTCTCGGAGACGAACTTGGCTGAGGCTATTTTTTGTCTTCTCTGATTTCCTCTTGGCTAGTTTTCGCCCAGTGCTGTTAGAGTCCCTGCCTCCTTCTAAGGGAAGCAGCGGACCCCTCTTCCTGGGCCCCGAAACCTCATGCGATGTTGAATCAGACAGAAGTCAGGTGGACATGGGAGGGACTGGGTCCTCTGGGGCCTTGCGGGGGGCAACTGCATGCCCCCTGAAGGGGAGCCCCTGCAGGGCATGTTGGCTAGCATGTCTCCATCCGGAAATGAGGATAAACCCCTGGCTTTGGAGGGCTGCCAGAGTTACCTCTGCAGGCTACACCTGGAACAGGGAGCCAACCAGCCTTTTTCAGGACAGAGGCCAGACCTGCCCCCTCCTTTGTCCCTCTCCCACCTTCCTTGTCCCAAGGCCACCTGCTCCCTTTGTACCCGTACACACGTGTCCACGTGTGCGCACAAGAGCTCCTGGTTTGGGGAAGGGAGGGACAGCTTGCAGAGAGACAGGGTGAGCCCGAGTGTAATTTTATTTCTGTGGTTCTCTTTTCAAGCTGTCACGGTGAATCTATTTTACTTGTCACTTTGTAAATCATTATGCAGGATTAAGCCTTTTACCAGCTTTTAAGGCGCCTGCAGCCATCAACAACCTACCTCTTCCCCACCGTGCCTTCCGAATGTCCCTCACTGCTCATGTCCCTCACTGCTCTGGGCTCTGGACCGACAGTGGCTCCTTTAAGCGTGCTCCTGGAATGAACGTGGGAGCCTAGGGGATTGCATGCCTGTCTTCGAGTTTAGCTGGCCCATTTTCCTGATGGGAAAACAAACTCGGGAGGGGCAGGTTGCTGGGGGAGGAAAGGGTCTGATGGTCACAGTCAGGCAGGGCACCGCAGCAGGAGAATTTGTCCTCATTGCCCCAGGGGGCAGGGCTGCCTCCTCTCCTCAGTAGTAAGACTGCTTAGGACCCACAGGGAGCTCCAGCTTTGAAGACTTTGAAGGGCGGCAGGGACAGGGTGGGCTGCCCACATGTGCTTGGAGCCCGAGGAGGACCCCCTGTCTGCTCTCGGGGTTCCGGGGCCAGGCACACAGGCTGGGGTGACGGGGAGCTGGAGACATAGAGGCCCCCGCACTGGCATGCAGGATCCCATTTACTGATTTCTCTAGAATGCCTTGCCCTCCTCAGCAGGCTCCAGGATGCCAGAACAATGAAAGCATTCTCTGAAACGTTGGGAGTCGCAGGCAGTGGCCAAGGCCCACTAGGCCAGGCACCCGCAGTGAGCAGTGCTGCATTTCCCATCGCCAGCCCATCTGGAGAGGCCTGCAGAGCAAAACAGGAAGCAAAAAGGCACCCCCTTGCAAGGTTGATACACATTTGGGAGCTGAGGCTTGTGGGGTACCTACTGTGAGAGGGATAGGGATGTATGTGGGGCCAGGCGACGCAAGAGCCCTGCCAGATGGGGCTCAGGCCTGTTGCTCACTGCCTTTTCCATCAGGATAGATGAGCCTTCCCTCCAGGCCACGGGATTCCTTCTTGTCGCTTGGGGCCTAGGGCTTCCCCCCGCCTGTCCGCTGGTAGAAGCCCCAGCCTGGGAGGCCAACATTCACCCAACCTGCTTCCTTCATGCCCCACCCAAACCTCCTTTGTCTTGAAACTTGACAGATTCATCACTGGCTTGGAATTTCAGGCTAGCAGGAGAGCTGCTGGAGCAGCCCATTAGGGCAGGGCCCTTGCTTGGCCTGGCGAGGACTCCTGATGGAGAACAGGAACCCTCTTACAGCCTCCAGATGCTGGGTCATCCCCCCCTCACTCCCCGCCATATGCTGGGTGGCAACTGCCTGCTTAATTTCCTGTCTTTAGATGAGCTCCTTCTAGAAGGCCAGACCCAGTCCGTTATAGCCCCTGGCACTGGGTAGGGGGGGCATGGGGCACAGGCTAAGGCAATAGTTCTTAAAAGGATGGCCCAACAAAAATCCCGAGAGCCTCACTTTAAGGAGTTTCACAGTCTAACAGGAACAGGAACGATACATCCTGAAGTACTAGAGAGATCGACTAAGAAGTTCCATGGAGAACTTGGAACAAGTGAGAGATGAGAATGGTTTAGAGTGGTCAGGGAGGGCCTCCTGGAAGAGGAGACATTTAAGGGTGACTGTTGAAGCTAGAGAGACTTTAGCCAGAACAAAGCAGGAAGGGGGGCGGAGGAAAGACACTTCCGGGAGGCAGAAAGGTGTGACCAAATGAAGGGAGGTATACACGCCAGGGGTCTGGGGGAGCTCAGCCAGTGCCCCTTATCTTCAGAGGAGTAACTGAGGCCAAGTCTCCAGGGATGGCTGGGACCCCAGAGAGAAGGCTGGGTGAGGAGGGGACATTTATCCTAGAGGCAGGTGGCAGGGAGGCTTGAGCAGGGAAGGGGAGGGACCAGAGCAGTGTTTTGGGAGATGAGTCAGAAGGCAGGGAGCTGCCCAGCTTGGAGGGAAAGGCGGAAGCCTTGCTGGTGTCACAGGTGAGTGAAGTCCCTCAGGGGCACTTCAGGACCAACCGACCTGTGCCTGGCGGGAGGTTGTGAAGGTGGGCGGAGGGGCTGGCTACTCCTCCAGAGGGGCTCCTGCAGTGCTGAGGAGGAGGTAGAAAAAGCAGGGGCTTCTGAAGGCCCAGCAACAGTTTGGCCTGACACCACCCTTACTACGTGACATGGTCCTCAGCCTGTTCTCAACCTGCCAAGTGGGGAGATGTAACAACCTCTTCCCCTGCCTTGCTGCCTGGCTGCTGTGAAGAGGAAAAGAGGCACAGTTAGGGGAAGGCTTTCGTGCACCAACATCCTCGGTGGGGTTTCATCCCATTCTAGAAAATCCGTGGCCGCGTGACCCGGCCATTGCATGGCTGCTGGCCTCCCTCCATTCTCTGGCCTGGAGGCAGCTTGTGCGTCTAGGGTTTGTTCTCAACAAGCCGTGTGTCTTGGACCAGTCACTTCCCTCCTGCAGTCCTCAGCTTTGCCCTCTATGCCTGCGTCCGTCCGTCCTGGTAATCCCTGCCCCCCCACCCCGGGATGCTGAGAGTGGCAGTAAATGCGTGCCACAGTGCCTTGGGAGGTCCCTGCTCGGCGATCGAGGCTGGGGTGTCCTTCCATGGCCAGGGCCTGGCAAGCCTGGTTGTCACGACAGCACCATGACGCCTCCTCAGAAGCTTCAGAACTTCCACTAAAAGAGCCCGGTGCAGCGCCTCTTGGTCTCTGGAGACTTCTAGGTCTGTTTTGTATGTCCTTGCACTTCCCGCCAACACCCTGGAGGCCCTGTTAGGAGTCTAG